ATTTATAATAGCCAAAAAGTGGAAACAACCAACTGGATCATGCAGTATTTAGGACACTCTGCATACATCTCCATGTTCTATCACAGGATAATAATAAGACGTGTGAAAATGCCACCTATCACTTCCAGCAACATTTCTAAAGCATACATTTATTATTCTAAACTTAAAATCTTTTTGTGTTAGAATTTTCCACATGCTCCCTTGGCATAACAATGCTAGGGAGCAAATGAAATGTATTCTAATAGTCATTATATTTTCAAAATAAATTTTCTGATCCCTCCAAAAAACTAATAAATTTTTATGCACACTAAAAACATACCTAATTTTACTTGAATTTTTTTCATTTTAAACTGGAATTTGTATTTTCATTTTATTTTTTCATTGAAAGCACTTATAATGATTACTATATGCCAGGCACAAATATTCATATCATTTTACAAGTATTTAACTTATTTACTTCTCACAACATGAGGCAGGGACTATTATTATCCCCAGTTTACAGTGAGGAAAGGGTTAAGGAAGTGCCTTGCCCAAGGTCACACAAGCAGTACGTGGTGGAGCAATCTGGTTCCAGAGCCTGTGGTCTTACCCACTATACTGTGTTGCATCTCTTGTTATTGATTTCACAGCAACACAGAACATTAAATCTGAAAGTCATTAAGACTTTTTTTGTCTGCTCATTCACAGATCACAAATTTGAGTGGCCTGGGGGCAAGAAGGGACAATTACCACACAAGCCTGAGTTAGTCTGATAAGAGTATAACCAGCTCTCAGACCTACAACTTCATTAATAATCAAATATATCACCTAACTTGTACACGGGTTCCACTTCTGTAAAATGGAGATAATATTCCCTATCTCATTATATTTATGATGTTTAGATTATCTTATGTTTATTATGAAATACAGAATATGAAAGATCTTGCATATAAGACACTTTTTTTTAATGTTCTTTATTTTCCTTCCTTTTGTGCCCCTTCCCTACATGAAAACTACTGCTAGGTATTGTACCTTAAAAGCCCTTCTCTTGGATTACTTCACTTCAAAAATGCTCAGAGAGCCTCTGGGATCTGACAAGGAAGCTCATGGTACTGACTGCCACATTAAATGTGATTTAGGTTTTTCTTAACTTATCCTTGGTATACAATTCTGAAATAATGTCTTAACGCAGGAGTTGACAATCTTTTTCTCTAAAGGGCCAAAGAGTAAATATTTTATGCTTTGTAGGACATACAGTGTCTGTCACAACCACTCAACTCTGCCACTGTAGCATGAAAGCTGGTATAGACAATACATAAATGAATGGGTGTGGCTGTGTTCCAATGACATTGTACTTACAAAAACAGACAGTGAGCCAAATTTAGCCCATGGGCCAGAGCTTGCCAATCCTTATATTTCTGGATCAAATTTAGAATTATATAAAATCTTACTGTTTACACAGAGACTGAAACACTAGAGCTGAAAAGTTGCCATCAGGCATTTAAATATTCTTTTCAATTTGCATAAAAATAAAAATCTTAATTTATTTTCATTTCTCATCAATAAAGTATATGGGCTTTTACATATTAAACTGCCCTAATTAACTGATCTAAATTTAGATCCATGAACCAGAAAAATTTCGAAAACACTTTAATAGATGACAGAGAATTAATCTGTTCGCCTATTACAAAAGTACAGTATCAGTTTGAAAATTGAACTAAATATGACCCTGGTAGTCAGTTACTTATCGTTAAAAAATGAAAGGTTTATTCCTCATCAATATCATTGATTTGTTTGAAACAGCTCGTAATAACTGATAATGAAGCATCCTTCAACTGGGAGATTCACCACGTAACAAAG